GATCCAACAAGGGGTACCAACCAACCAACGCCCTCTCCATGTTCGACATTTTTTACGGGGGTGCGACCCGAATAACGCCTGCCATGCCCGGATTTGTCATCCATCGTGTTATTCCAGCGCATCTTCCAGGTTTAGGGAACACTAATGCTTACCGCACAGTAATAATGACAGCTGATTATGTGAATTTTATCACACGGACATGGTGTCATAAAAACTACCCAAACAGCTACACACAAGAAGTCTGCATTACGCTGGACCAATGTACAAATGCTTACCAGATCTTTGAGGCTGACTTTTATGTGGAAATCATCCACCAGGAGGACAGTGTGTTCATCTGATGCTTTGATGACGCTGCTTTCAATGCAGTTGGCTCCAAAAGCATCGTGGAACATGATGGTGAGGGCATCACAGAACTGGATGAAGTCGGGCTCCCTGAGTGTTGGCAGAGCTGCTAAAGAACGGGTGAAGATGCAAAAAAAACAAGAACAAAACTGGCAAGCACCCATACGTGTGAAATAATGCAGCAATCACTGGCGATAGCTCCGACTTTTAGAGAATTGGAGGCAAGTAAAATCCGTTAGAAAAGAAACCCATCAGGAGCAGCATTGTGCGAACTTTAGAATAGCACGTGAACTACTACAAGGGACAAAATAAGGACTTTTAATAATGTAATTTCGGTCACATTGATCCTCTGCAGTAATCATGAAAATACAATGATCGGTGGTTGGGTTTTCTGAGTACCAGTAACTCAAATGAGGACGCTTAGAGGGTATTTTCTACCTCCAGTGACTAGCTCCTTGCTATAGTTTGATAGTTTCCTAAAGAAGACTAAAACCAAAGACTAGAAACGCAACTAACGCACAAATGTATTAAGCAATACGGGTAAATAAAATTGGAAAGTTTTTTTGCTGCAGTCGAAGATCAGAACAGTAGCCGGGATGATCCAGCTGCTTTCGAGATTGCAAACAATTACTTACAGCTTAAAAGGCCGTGAGAGCAAGAGCTGGGCGCATAGAAAGTGCGCTGAAACCAACATTCTTCGATTTAATGTGACCGGAGAACGGAGCTACACACTATTCAATTGCTCTTGCAAATGGCCGCAGGGTGACGGACCTCACACACCACCTCGAAGGCATTTCGCGTCGAAGGTTGCAGTTGTACTTACCAGGAGAGTCGAAACCTGGTGCTTGAAATATTCAGGCCAACACTCATTTAAGTGGCATGTGCTACGAACAGTAAAAAAGCTGACGGCAAAGGACGGAAGAGAGTGGAGTGGATTGGTTGTGCTTGCTTATGCCTGTACGACGACGTGCGTGATTCAGAACTGTGACAATATGCGATCGGAGCAGAAGAATTTATATAAGCTCCTTGGCAATCGAGGTCTTCTTTTCAGTAAAGGCTCAGCTAAGTAGGAAAAAACAGGTCGACATTGTATGAGTAGCAACTTACCTCGGCTATTGGGCGCAAGCATGGACGCACGTAGGACGACATTTTGGACGGCATCTGCATACATGTCGTTCATTGGATTGGCCTCCCACTGCAATGGGAATAAGATATTAGTTAGTCTTAATCGCACTTGGAAATTAAATAATGAAGAAATCATAACAAAATTATAGCCTTTAAAAATGCTTAGCATAGACGATAGTTAACAAGTTTACTTGACTGCTAAGGTTACATCGAATTTGCGCAGCTAGAAGAAGAAAGCCAAGTACTCAGATCAATACTTAAACCGAGTAATCACTAATTCTCTGGACCAGAATACGATAATGGGTACGTTCAAAATGCTCTTTGGACCGGTTTGTTCAATAAAGACAGTCTCCAACGCCATGTGAGTTAGAATACCAGGAGACTCACAGTATTGTGGAGACTCGAGTTGGGGCATGACCACCTGACAGCGGGAGATACGCCATGCCATCGTTTCGTTTTTGGGAATAATGTTTATGGAGTAATAAGTGCTAGTGGTCATGCGACCACTTGCGAGCGATCCGAATCAGGCGTGGCCGTAATACTAGTGGTGGCTCCAGCCAGGCCAGTTATCCGCGCCTTCCTTTCCGCCTTTGGTCTCCTTGAATTTGTCCTGACACCAGACCCAG